TAAAACATTTCTATTGTACACATTATGCTTACAGAAGGATGGTCCCCTCATTTCTTCCTACTTAATAGGTGGAGCTTGTCTTTAAATTTAAATCTATTCGAAAGAATATCTGAGTTTCATAGAATTAGATACAATAGAGTGTCTGAGTAGACTCACTAATGATTGTGCATAATATATATAGATTAAGAACTGATTTCCTAATGTAGGCCACGTTTAAAGAGGTTACTCTTGGGCTGTGGATTTAGCTCAGTGGTTCCGGCGCCTGCCTCGCAAGCAGAAGGACCTGAGTTTGATCTCCGGTACCAAAAAAGGTTACTCTTGGATAAGAAAACTCCATATAAATCTCTTACTAGTCTAAGTATATCTAGTCAGTACTTTAGTTTCAGAAATTTTTTACAAGTACTCATTTCTAAAAAGTTAAAGTCCTGCTAGGTTACTGCTTGATAAATGTTGTTTATGGTCAAGCAGTAAGGCCTTCCCAGTTAACTTACTTAAAGGTAGCACTTCGGGAATATTATAACTTAAAAGAGAAGGAAAAAAATTAAAGAAAAAGAAGGGCTTTGTCTTGTTTTCTTTTTCTAACAGTTTTGGTAATTGAACCTAGGGAGTTACATGTCCAGCCTTTTTTTGCTTTGAGACAAGGCCTTGCTAAGTTGCACAGGCTGACCTCCACCTTGTCATTCTCCTGACTCAGTACCTCACTGCAAGTAACTAGGATTATACATGTGCCATTGTGCCTGGCCAGAATAGAAATACTTGAATAAACTCACTCATCTGTGAGAAGAGATAAAGGGTGAGTCCCTATTAAGTGAGAAAGTATCAGTATGCATACCAGGTAGAATGAAAGTAAGATCCTGATCCTTGGCCTTTAAATTGGGTTATTATTTGAGAAAAATAGAAATAGAAGTTACTTCTCAGAATACAAGCTCAGTTACATTTAAAAATTCACATCACGATGTAAGCAACCACAGCATACCATGTAATATGAATACTGTTCATTTAGAGCACATGCTCTAAATGGTTTGGAAGGTTTGGGATGGTTTGGAAAGCCACTTTTTTTGCATGATTCATCATCATCTACTAAGATGGCTTCTTTCTTTTTCTTCTTCCTCTTCTGTACCTGCAGGTGACTTCTCACTGTCAGACCCTTCACTTTCACCAGAGCTCAAATATTTCCATCTGATACATGTCAAGAACCAGTCCATTGGCCGGGCGTGGTGGTGCACGCCTGTAATCCCAGCACTCGGGAGGCTGAGGCAGCAGGATCGCTGTGAGTTTGAGACCAGCCTGGGCTACATAGTGAGTTCCAGATCAGCCTCACCTACATAGTGAGACCCTGTCTCAAAAAAAAAAAAAAACCAAAAAAACAGTCCATTGAACTTTGCTTTTCATAAAATAAAGATTAAGATAATTTGATAAGAGAAAATTTTTAAAAGTTTTGCCCTGATTATATTTCCCTTGTGGGCTTACTTAATATACAAAGAAAAAAAAATATTATAGAATCATCACCAGATACACCTACTATTAAATTTTGTTATATATTTCCATTACTTGGGGCACTTTTAGAAAATGGAATTAAAATGACCATTATGACTTACAAATTTTTTTTCTAGTCATAAAGTAGGGTCTCACTATGCATTTCAGGCTGGCCTTGAAATTACTCTGTAGTCCAGGTTAGCCTCAAGCTCTCAGCAATCCTGCCTCAGCCTCGAGTGTTGGGATTACAGGCCTGTGCCACCTCACCCACTTTTATAAAGTATTCTAACATTACTATAAATATGTAATATGCCATCACAGGGCTGTATTATTGTGATCTCCTCATAGACATTTAGGTAATTGTTCCCCATTTTTTCACTTTTATGAACAATGTATATTTGTAAATACACATTTTTATGAACACTTACATGGTTAGGATAAATTCCTTGAAGACAATTCTAGGTCAAAGGCCATGCACACCTTAAAGGCTATATTGGTAGCAAAATGATAGCTACTTATAGAAAATTTTAAATCCTGTATTAGAGATGAACTTAAAAATTTTAAGTGGGTCAGAGCTGGATATAAAATCTTGACAGAATATTTGCCTAGTTTTGAAGTCTTCAGCTTTCCACGTCATCCTTTCACTATAGGTCTCCAGCTAAGAACAAAATAATTCTAAGAGAAAAAAAAAACTTATTTAATTTTTTTTTTTTTTTTTTTGGTACCAGGGATCGAACTCAGGTCCTTGTGCTGGCAAGGCAAGCGGCAGAACCACTGAGCTAAATCCCCCACCCAAGAAACTTATTTAAAAGTAAACAATTAAAAATTCAGTATTTTGGGGAATAAGCGTTCAATTACAGTGAAGAATAATCTGATCATTTAAATAAATTTAAAACAAAAGTAGCATTTTTAATTATAATGAACTCCAACAGCGTAGCCAAAGACTTGTAAAAGATTTTGCTTAAAATAAGAGGATCACAGAAAAGGGAATTCTGTCTTCTATGAGTGATGATTAAAATGGGGAAAATAAGCTCTTACATCCTGGGATGAGATGGTTCACTGATAAGCCTTTTTTAGAGGGCAGTGTAACAGAAGTTATCAAAACTTACAATGCACATGCCCCTTGAGCCAGCAGTTCCAATTCTACAAGACTGTTATAAAGAAGTTTTACTCATCTCCAAAACGATCTTCAATGCAACATTGCCTATAACACTGAAAAATTGAAACAACTTAAATGTTAATTAATAAGTTCAATAAACTGAGGTATATTCAGTCTATGAAATACTGTGTCCATTCATAAACAAATGGTATACTACATATCTCCTGAACACGGAAAAACACAGAGGTACATTATTAATTGAACAACTCACAGAAAAATGAACTGATACGGTCCAATTATTTTTTATGTGAATAGGTAAAATGTTTATAAGAATACACATAACATGAAAAAGAGATTGACCGCCGCCTGTCTTGCAAGCGCAAGGACCCGAGTTCCATCCCCGGTGCCAAAAGAAAAAAGAGAGATTGAAATAATAGTACTCCAAACTATTAATGGTTGTAAAAAATTTTCATTTCATAACTGTACAGGTCAGGCATTGTTTGAGTAGTTTACAAAAAGAATATATTCTGCCTGTAGTAAAATAATACATACATGCATACGTACATACATACATACATACATACATACATACATACATAAATTTAAAAGAAAACAAGATTATATAGTCCAAAGTTAGCATCTGCAGATAACAACTTAAGATTTTCTTTTGTATCGGGGACTGAGGAATTTATTAAAGGCAACCATAATATTAAATTATTAATATAAAAGCTTGTTTGTATTTTCAGTCCAGTATATATCCCTTTACTGTTCCTATTGTCTTGATTTAATAAATTTGCTATCAAAGTTGTATGCATAAAAATCATCCAGATAACTTGTTAATAATAGAAATGCCCAAACCCCATCCTCAGAGATCTATTTCTCAAATAGATCTGGGATGTGGCTAGTGCATCAACTCCCTACCACAAGGTGCTTTTTATGCAGACTAGTTTGAAGTTTAGTGGAAAGAGTAAGATACTTGTTCTTTTTTTCATAGAAACCTGTTCACTAAGGTTCTGTAACCTTAGTCGAGACTCCTAATAACTCAACCATATCTGAAAAGAGAGATAACACATTTCAAAAGACTATAATGGTCATGAAACAAATTAACATATGTAGTAATAGTTGTAATAATAGTTGGTATGCAAAAGGCATCCAGTAGATCAGATTCCCTCCTCATCTCATGAAACTTTAGTCTAGCCTTTGACCAACTCTGATCTTTTACATCCTTAATAATTCTTCTCCATTGGCTGGGCATGATAGTGCATACCTATAATCCCAACATTCTTGGGGGCCAACACAGGAAGATTGCAAGTTTGAGCCCAGCCTGGGCAGTGTAACAACTTAAGATCTTGTCTTAAAAATAAAAAGTAAAGACTGTGCATGTAGCTCCCTGTGAAGACCCTGGGTTCATTCGCCAGTGCTGTGATGTAGGAGGAGGAAATCCTCTTTTTTAACCATATTAAATTACTTGTCCCTTAAAAAAGCATGTCTTTGAGTCTTTCATACCTTTCTATTTATAGTCATACTGCCTTCTGCTACTGTTTTCTTCAGTATTCTTTAAAACTGTTCTTTTGTCATAGAGTCTATGACCACTCTGATTTTGCTGTGTCCCCTTCTCCCATTTACTTTCTCTGTACAGTCTACCCCCTTTGTAAGCATTATACTCTAATGAAAAAACGTGTACCCTAAGCAGTCATGGATGTAAATCATGACAGCCTCTAAATAAAGGTGTGAGCTTGGACAGATTTCAGCCCTTTTTCCCCCCAGCCTGTGAAATGGAGGTAATGTTATTGGTACATTTTTGGGAGAAACAAAAGGTATAATATATGTGAAGCACCTAGCCAAGATACATAAACATTCAGAAAGTAGTACCTGTTTCTGTTATCGTAATGATTCTGTGTATCTTTTTTCATATTCACCTTTCTATGCTTAATACAGAATATAATACTGGCACATAATAGGTTCTCAGTAATTGTTGGATGAAGGAATTAATAGATCCATGAAAAGATGATAACTACATATAAAACGCCCTCGAAAAACTAGCAGCCACAATGTAAAGGTTCATATCTGAGTGCTGGATTTTCTGATATGAAGGCTAAGTAGTGTGTTTTTTCACATTTCATTAGGGTATAATTAATACCTAATATAACTGAATTAAACTTTCATAAAAAGGCAATTAAATTTAAATTTCATAGTTCTTGCATATTAGAGAAGTGCCAAGTTACTAGTGTGCTGATAGAATTAAAGTTTAAATTGAAATTTAACCTTTATAATAAAAGCAGTCTTGATTTGAGATATGGCTGAAATGATTGGGTTATATCATAATCAACATTTAGTAATTTATTGATATGTGGTGGTTTAATAATACAACCTTCTGATTTAACAGTAACATTCAAATTTTCAAACTATTTTTTCTTGTTAATAGCAACATTTTATTGAGTTGGATGACAATAGGCAACGATTATTGCAGAAGTGCAAGGAACTTATGAAGAGAGCTAGGCAAGTATGTAACCTGGGTGCACAGCAGACTGTTCCTCGAGAATATCAGACAGTAAGTATAAAAAATATATAATGTCACAGTTGCCAGACACATTATTTTTAAGCCTAGAGTAATTTAAGCCTTATAATAGGCTATGAGAAACATGTTAATAAAAATAGGGGATTTCCCTCCTATTTTTAAACTGAATATGTATTAAAGTAATTTTGCTTTTTCTATTCAAATGTGATACTAGTGAGTCTTACTTCTTAGTACTAAAAGTCTGAAGACATAGGAATTACATTTAAAAATTACTGGTTCCTTAATATTCATTCCTACAATGAGTGGGCTTTTCCCTCTAAAGGGAATGTAGTATTTCATAGAAACATCATATGAGTGATACATAAGAGGAATATTAATAAGGGTGATATTTAGAAAAACAACAGCAAAGTAAATATGTTTTTCTTGAAACGAGGGTGTTTAAGTTGGGTTCATTGGGAGCTGAGTCTTTAAATTAACATCTGTCCATAAAGAAAAGAAGGAAAAGCTATTTTTTACTTATATGGTATTGAACAGGCTGACATCAATCAAAAAAGTTAGGAGCTTCTACCCTTTAGTATAATTTCCCCCATTAGTTGTATACCCCATGTATCTAGGCTTTAACAGGGATGTTACCTTTCTACAGGTGTATTCAAAATGTCAAAATCAAGTTACAAAATGAGTTTTTAAATAGCTAGTATTTGTATGACTTTTTGGAATCTTAATTTGAAATTTATCTATTTCAATAAGTAATTTAAATGTCCACTAAAGATAAAAATGATAGCAAAAAAGACTCATTTGGATTATAACTGCAAAATCCTCAAGGGTTTTATTATATAAGACACAGAAACCATGGAGGATGGATTTAACTGGTTACATATTAGGAATTCAGTAGAAATTTATAAAACTAATCAAAGGGCTTATTGTTTCTATATACTAGAACTTCTCCAAAATACATTGTGTTTTTATAAAATAAATACTAATGTAATAACTATACTAATTATTTTAAGAAATAACTTGATAATCCTTGATAAGTCATACTCTTTTTAAAAGAAGATCAGAAGGTAATATAATCATTTAAATATATATGGATTACCTGCTATCTGACACATTGAACAAGACATACTTCTTTATATTCCTATCTGGAGGATGGGGGCAGACAAACACATAAAGCAAAATAGATACTGTCAAATAGCAAGAGATGTTAAGAACAAAAATAAAACAAGCTCAGGGATTAGAATGACAAGGATGGGAAGCTGGTTCGTGATAACACCTTTGAGAAGATAATATTTTAGATAAGTTGTGCTTGAAGAGAAGAAATCGGTCAATTGAGGATGTGAAGGAAAAATATTCCAGGCAGAGAAAACAGCTCATACGAAGTGCCTGAGATGGTAGTATATTTGGCATGATAGAAGAAACCTTAGTAGGGCTAAAAATTATAATCCAAACACAAAAGTTCTTCTAGACCATACAAAAAGTGTGGATTGTATTATTTTTGAGATGGAATCCACTGGAGGAGTTTAAACAAAAAGTGGTGTTATGTTTGGTTTACAAAAGAGTGCTGTACCTTCCTATGGAGAATAGAGATTCAAGAGTGGGAGCAGCGGAGACCATTTAGAGGGTTGGTTTTGATTTCAAGAGGGGAAGAGATGATGATGACGTGGATTAGCGTGGTAGCACAGCACAGAGAGAGGTTGATTGATTTAAGTACCCTTTAATAAAAAGCCAGCAAAATTTATGGATTTGAGATGAAGGATAAAAGATAGAACCTCTAATTTTTTCACCCGAATACTGATACTATTTGCTTCAATGGAGATGATTGAGAGAAACAGCTTTGCTTAAAGTGGTGGGTAAGGTGAATGAAATGAAGAGTCTGTTTCCCTGCCCTGATTTAAAGCTATCTGTTAGAGTCAGGTTAGGACGTCAAGTACTTACATAGTACTTGCCAGGCACATAAAATCAAGCTGAGTGGAAAATGAGATTTTCATAAATATCTAAAGATCTATAGAAGTTGGATTACATTGTAAAAGTTGTTTTAAAAGATAGGAGATTAAGACATTAATACAGTGTGTTAGAATCATTTTTAGGTCTTCTAGATTCATTTTGTACCTTTATTATATGGATTTTGCAGGTTATGCTAGGCAAAACAGTGTACCTCTTGCCTCCCTTTACAGAAAAGGATCCAGAAGATAGTCTGATGATAAAATCCTGTCAAAATAATTGGATTCGTAGGATGCTTTTGTAGTCCTTCATAAGTATAGTATAAAGTTCTAACTTCTTGCTCTCTTTCAATGCCCCACATATTCTGGACCCATTCTACCAATTCAGCAAGTACCCACCATTCCAAATGGACACAACTCCTCACCCCCCATGGTATGCAGTGCTCTTTTTTCCAAGCTTCAATCTGTCCTCTGACTTACTTTTCTCTAGCCAGTTGCTTTAAGGCTCAGAAATGAGTTCTGGGCCTTTGGTTTCTCTTAACCCCTGCAGCATGAACTGATACTTCCTTTCTCTAAGTTTCATAGCCTAGCTGATATGTAGTGCTTATTTTGATATTCAACACCATTACATTGCCTTAAGGTGTTGTTCAATGTATACATTTTGTTTTCTTTTAACATATAAGCTCTTTGAAGTAAAAGACCATGTTTATAATTCCTTTGAATCGTTGTGTGCTAGCATGCTGTTGATTGACAGTAGATATTTAGCAGATAATTTTTCTTTAACTATTTGATTGGAATTATTTTCGCTACAGTATCTAATGATAGACATTTCTTTTTTACTTTAGGCTTTTCAAGATCTTCCAAACACATTGGATGAAATTGATGCTTTGTTAACTGAAGAAAGATCAAGAGCTTCCTGCTTCACAGGACTGAATCCTACAGTATGCCTCTTTCTCTGTTCCCATTCTGCAGCTGCTGCCACTTCTACCCTACACACACACACACACACACACACACACACACACACGCACACACGCACACACGAGTTCCCTCCAGTCCTTGCCTCCCACTCTGTACTAGAGCTCTTGGTAATAATAAGCTAGACAGCAGGAACAATGTGCTGTAAATGCCAGATTCTGAATCTATTAGAATTTTAAATAGATTCTTCCTAAGGAACACAGTGTTCTGTGCCTTTTCTTTATAAAAAAGAATAGTTGGGTTAACTTGAAATATGCAATACCTATTTTTTCAGGATTAAAAGGCATTTCAATATGTAATAAGAAACATTAATTGTATACAAACTGTGACACAATTGGCATTTTCAGATAATATTTTAATTGATGCAGATTTTTTAATATAATTTTATCCCTTGACAGATTTATCTTGAAGAAGTATTTTTTTTTCCTGCCAGGTGGTTCAGGAATACACAAAAAGGGAAGAAGAAATAGTGCAGTTAACTGAGGAACTAAAGGGAAATAAAGTTGAACTAGACCAATATAGGGAAAATATTTCACAGGTAATTCTCAAATTTTTGTCTTTTTTATCATATGTGTACCATAAGTGAGATGGACCTGTAGAATAATACGAAATGAATTGATACACTTCTTAAATGAGAGAAATGTGTTCTTAAGACCAAATTGATAATTGATATGAAATTTGTCTTATGTAAAGTTTTGTACCAGGATTTAGTAATATTTTAAGTGCATTTTAATAATATTTTAAAGTGCATTTTATATTGCCTTTTTTAGGTAAAAGAACGATGGCTAAATCCCTTAAAAGAGCTAGTAGAAAAAATTAATGAAAAATTCAGCAATTTTTTTAGTTCCATGCAATGTGCTGGTGAAGTTGATCTCCATACAGAAAATGAGGTAAAATTGCATTTGGAATATATTTCTTGGCAAGTAATACTAATTATGTACTAAAAGTACACATGAATGTATTTACCTTAAAGTTATCTATTCTTACATACTAAAAAATTATCCAGAGGAAGGAAAAACACATAGGAGATCCCATTAGGGTCGCACCACCCTTCCTTCACCCCTGGAATTGTGATGTTTGAGATGAGTGATTGATGGATACATTACTAGCTCTAGTTATATCCAGTCTAAATGTTTTAGTCAGCTTCCCTAACAGAACACAAAAACCGATACCCATAATTTAAAAAAGGAGAGGTTACAGCTCAGTTTTAGGGGATTCAGGCCGTGGTCTACTGGCTGTAAGGCCGAAACCTCATGCCAGAAGGGCGTGATGCAGTAGGCTGCTGCTTTCATGGCAGCAGAGAGCAGTGCCAAAGAAGAAGGGTATAGGGACCAGATGTAGTACTCAAGTCCATGCCTCCAGGACCTACCCAGACCAGATTTCATTTTTAGGGTAAATCTGACCCAGAATGACCTAGAAATGATAAATAACATGGATAAGAACAGTAAATCATAGAGCAGACTCACTTTTGGCAAAATATATACAATTCTTAATGTACTCATTTTAACAATATTTATTGATCATCTATAATGTGTCAGATTCCTTTTTACTTAGTATTGTGTGTATGGCTATTTTGGGGGATGGCATAGTGTATATAAATAAATAATATGTATTGATGTGGCATAATAGAAAAATTCCTACTAGTTTTGTTTTTAGCTAGCTGAGGGTATAGGGAGCATTATGTAGTCCTCTGCAGTAGCATACACAGCTGCTTCTCTAGCAGAAAATGGCATGTCACTCTATTGTATTTTAGTTACTTTCACTTACAGTTTTTAAAATCTAGAACTTTGGAATTCGAATAGATGGTGCCTCTCCATGAAAATCCTCCTCACTTGTTAATTTTTTAAAATTCTTGGGAAAGCCTGATAAAGTTGAAAAGAATGGTATTGGGTAGGGAAAAAGTCATTTTTAATCTGAATCATTCTTTTGTTTAAATAATAGATCTTTGGAGGCTCCTAAAGTTTTTACATAGTAACTTTAATATTTCATTGTTTTACTTTTAAATTGGTATTACTGAACTTTAAGTTCTTTACTCTTAAAATTGATGTGTTCAATATATTTTCAAATGATAGAATTGAATTAGCAAGGAAAACTAATCTTTCAAATTTTAAAATCTTTTATAGGAAGACTATGATAAATATGGAATTCGAATTAGAGTCAAGTTTCGCAGTAGTACTCAGCTGCATGAATTGACTCCTCATCATCAGAGTGGAGGTGAAAGAAGTGTTTCCACCATGCTATACTTGATGGCCCTTCAAGAGCTTAATAGATGTCCGTTTAGAGTAGTTGATGAAATTAATCAGGTATAGTCATTATTCTTTTATTTGGATCTGTGTTCTGCAGTAAATACAAATGTAATCATTATTACTGTCACGGCCTAGGGAATGGACCCGATCAATGAACGGAGAGTATTTGAAATGGTTGTAAACACTGCCTGTAAAGAAAACACATCCCAGTACTTCTTTATTACACCAAAGGTAAGTAGTAAGTAATCTCACAGTGCTCATTTACTCAGAAGTCCTTTGTGGCTTAATTGTAAAGCAGATTTTGGCCCAGTATGTAAATATGAGCAGGGATATTCCCTGGAACAAGAAGCTGAAAAGATCACAGTAAACATTTCTATAAGGCACAAGTTCCTGTGACGTACTTAATCAGAAACCTCATTATTTGAAGAAGAAATGTAGGAGGTACATCATATTCTGGAACAAAGATTTCTTCCCTGCTTGGCATGCATTACTCTTACAGAAAAGTTCCTCTTTTAGCTCTAAAAGTTAGCTGAAAATGTTAACTCTGAAGCCCCTCACTTTCTCCATGTTCCCCAAAAGCCTGACCATTCATAAACTGCCCCTCTCTTATCACTTCTACCCTGACCTAGAGGAAATAAAAAGTATCTCAACATCTTTTTCATACAGATTAATGTTGATAAAGACATGTTTATCTTTAGAGAGAATTTTCTATAATCTAGAACAGTGATAGTGAACCTTTTAGACCTTTCAGTGATACAAACAGCCCACTGCAGCACATGTGCCATAGGTTCAGTACCACTAATCTAGACCATTGCAGTGGGCCATTTTCTTTTGTTACATCTACTGCTGCAGTAGTATTATAAAGGGGATATACTGTTTATTAATGTAATCTTTGTTTTTTCAGCTGAGTTTTTATGAAAAATTTCATTAGAGAGTCTGTCATAACTGTAACTTTCATTTGGATTTTATTATCAATTTTTTTCAGCAGGTGCTGTGTGGAATAGACAGATCTACTAGTACGTTATTTTTTTACCAAACACTTTGGCCTATAAACCAAACATCCCTGGCTACCAGTTTATCAGAGTACTTGACTATAGAAGTTGTGTAAAAAGGGTATATGGCTAAAAGGGAAAACACCAATCCTAGGAAATGTAGGGAGTTGTATGATACTGTTTATCCTATGAAATATAGAGGATTCCCAAGCTTGTTGAGTATTCTTTAGGCCAAGCTTTAGGTATACTAATGAAAGTAGTGATCATAGCTTATAAGGTTTATATTGAGGTATTTGAGAGCTTCATAAGGCTTTTGTTAATATTATAGCAAGGTATTTGGCTGTGTGCATATAAGATTAGAAAACTACTTTTTAATATATAGAATTACATGATAGTTTGTCTTAAATACCTACAGCTCCTGCAAAATCTCCCTTATTCTGAAAAGATGACAGTATTGTTTATCTACAATGGCCCTCATATGCTGGAATCAAACAGATGGCATTTAAAGGCTTTCCAAAGGCGCCGCCGCCGTATTACATTCACTCAGCCTTCTCAGTAAATAGAAGAAACTATTGGAGGTGATTTTTTTTTCTGGTGTTTGTTAAATTGTTTATAAGTATGACTTAATTGAATAAAACTCAAGAGATTTATTAAAATAGAAAATTGGTTATTTTTGAAACCTGCTCTTAAATACAAAAAATTGATGAGATGGATATTGTAAAGACCTCTTTTCTCTGGAACATCATCTGGTCATAATAATTAAGTCTTCAGTCTTGGTTGAACTTGAGCCCTTAGTACTCTATGAGTCCTGGGTTCCTAGAGTCAAAGGCATTTACTATTGCAAGTCAAAGGTATGGTGGAACTGGGGTTATCGGTCACAGGTGACACAGTAGCCCTGAGCTCTAATTGCAGAATAACTTTAGTTACTTTTAGAGCCCAAAGCTGATTCTGGAACTTAAAACCTAGCTTTTTCCAATATTACATTTAATTTTTAAAAATTGATATGAAAATGTCTAATGTATAGTAATAATTTATGACATATATATTCATTTTTCCTGTTAAAATATTATCTCCACTAAGAAATGGACTTTTATGGCCTATGGAAAAAAATTTATGAAACTTGATGCTATAATTGCATTGGCATGGGGGAAAAAAGAAAAAGCATTGGGCTTGAAAAATACAATAGTATGACTTATTTGAAATAGCACAAGGCGCCCTCTAGATGTTGCTCAATGCAACCAAAAGATTAACAGAATAAAAGCAGGTGACAAGGGATTTTTAAAGAATTACCTTATAAAGTATGTGTGGGTTTTTCTTGTTTTGTTTTCTAATTTAAAGTTCATTGTATTTTACATCTTAAATTTCTAAAAAAACATTTTTATAATTATTTTTAGGAAGATTTTCTTAAGATTTCATATACTGGTTTATACAATTTGTATTTGAAATTTCTCAGTGCTACATACAGAGGGTAAGGCGTTGATCTGTTTAAAACTGTTTTTAGAATCCCTAAGAGTTCCTTCCTTACAGTGTTGATCTACCCATTATTCTAGAAAATCTAATTTAAAATATTTTCTTCCAGCTTGAAAGAATTAAATGAGAAAATTATTCATTTACTGCTGAGTTATGCTAATTAACAGTTACCAACAAATTATTTTCTTTTAAAAAATAAATCTTGTAAAAAATGGATTACTCCAAGGACATGTCTTTGAATTGTGGATTGGATCTGTGCTGGTAATGACAGAATTATATTTTTGACTGCTGGGCTGCATAAATTGAGTTGCATTCACTTTGTGTTTTGCATGTTCTTATATAGCCGATGACATTTATATTCATATTAGGTAAAAAATAATGTTCTCTCCCTTAGACATTTTTCTCTTTGAAAACATATTTTTCTTTATAAATAAAAATTTTAAGGTCCTCTCTTAAACTAAGTCTAACGCATGAAGTATGAAAATATTTTAAAAATATTTTCACTATGATGAACAAATCACATGAATTTGAAAAAATTAGTAACATTTTAGTAAATGGATATTACCAAACATTCCTGTTCTTAACTTTGTTTTCCATTATAACTAATATGTACTGTGGTGTAATTTTTTGTCTAAATTAGCTGGGCATGGTGTCACATACCTGTAATCCCATTACTTGAGAGTTTAAGGGAAGAGGATTGACATGAATTTGAGGCCTGCCTGGGTTACATAGTAATTTAAGGCCAGCCTGAATTAAATGGCAAGACCCTATCTAAAACAATAAATAATTCATAGCTGTCATCAATTTCTATGAAAATGAACTCCAGTGTGAAAAAGAAGCTTGAAGATTAATCAATCATATTTTAAATAAAATGGTCAATTACCTTTCAACTTAATTTGCCAACATTTCATACCTTTTTTGTAAACATATTTCTGTGTTGCACAAAGTTAATATTAGGTTTTACCTTGACTTTTGAGCTGTGAAGAATAAATTATGTATCATTTTAATATCTTAAGGAATAATAAGGGTAGCATATTATATATAGTCTTGGCCACTTAAAATTTCATGTTTTTTGCAAATGTTGATTTTTAATCAAATTGTAAAAACATCAAGTAAAAAGCCTAATTTGATGAATAAGATGATCTTTAAAACTTTAAGGTGATAAGTGTTTTTGGAGACTAAATCTACTGACATGTCTAAGGAGAGTCTGTTAAAAGGTTTTCTGTATTCAAAGTAAGAAGAAAGATTTCCTGCTGCTTTCTGATTGTGTTTTGGATATATGCCTATTGTCTTTGCAATATGAACCTTTAGTATGTGAAAAATGTAATTTCGTCCGGCTATTGTGTATGTATATGTGTATAATTGTTAACTGTGTTGGAAATGTTACTTTGTTGTAATAAATACATATTTTCATATTCGTTTGGTCTATGTCATTTAAAAAGGATAATTTTTTGTACTTTGAACTGTAAGAGTCATTTTGATTTTCAGGTTTACTAAACAAATTTTGTAAGTGCCCACCATTTACAAAACAAGTTTTAGCTGTTCAGAAGTGTTCAGAAGGGTGAAAGTTTAGTTCCTTGTTTGCCTGCAATGAAATTAGTCTAAAGGAGCAGTAAACACATGAAAAAATGAAGCTACCAAAAGAAGCCAATCTACAAGGTACGTATATTTTTATGTTGAAACATGAAATTTGCTAAAAACATGCCCAGTAGCCAATTTTTACATTACATTACTGTCTAATTTTTAAAATGTATTTTGAATGAACCAAAGTTTGTCACTTGCTTGCAAACAGGTTTCTTTACCTTTCTACACTGATGAAATGAAAATGACACTTAATTCATAAAACCACTCAGAAGGTAAAATGAGATCAGGAGCCTAATTAGGGAGTCTACCATCATAGTAGGTGCTTTATATATGTTTAATCCTCATTTTAAATCTTGAAAAATGGACTGTGTACTTTATCCCACAAAGTCTGAATTCTAAGTAAAGTTAATGAGGTATTAATTCATTTGTATTGATGTATACCATCAGATGTTTAAAGGATACAGATATCTACAGACTCAGCATTACAGATGTAATTATTTGCATGTCATAACCATCATGAAATTTGAAGATGTTAGATGAGCTACCCTAAAGATATTTATGCTAATCTGTTTCACTACTTTATAGTCAAACTATATTTTGAGAAATGTATAATTAATAAAATTTGAAGTTTGAAGAATTTGTTTTTTTTTTTTTTTTTTTTTTTTTTTTCCTGGTATCAGGAATTGAACTCAGGACCCTTGCTTGGCAGCACAGTGCAACCGAGCTAAATTCCTGGACCTTGATTATGTTGACAGTTTGGGCTTTGGACTTAATTTTATTTCAGTGATAAAGTTGGGTATGAGGATGTTTGTTTGTTTGTACTAGGGATTGAACATAGTACCTTCACACTGAGCCATAACCCAACCTTTTACGTTTTATTTTTTTATTTTGAGACAGGGTCTCTTTAAGTCACTTGCCCAGGCTAGACCCAATCTTGGAATCCTGCCTTGACCTTCCAGAGTGCTGTGATTACAAACATGTGCCAGCAAACCTAGCCTTATTTTTTAATACTGAAATATAGCTAGTCATGTACCAATAACATTTTTGTCAACAACAGGCCCCATATATGATGGTGGTCCCGTAAGATTATATTGCCTAATGACATTTGTAGCCCTTCTAGTTTGCCTGAGTAGACTTCACACAATGATGAAATTGCTTGATTTCTCAGAATATCTCTCTTATTTAGTGATAAATCATTGCATTTACTTATCCACCAAAATAAGTTAATTACAGCCAATTGGCTAGAAAATACAGGTACTTTATATATATATATATAT